GATTTTGTCAGCAGGTTTGTGCTGTTTCTGCTGAGTCAGAAAATGCATGGACAGCAAAGACTCCGATTTCTCACCTTAGCTCTCTCCTTTCAGCCGGGGGTCCTAAATAGAGCCTCTACTGCATAACTGAGGGAGATGATGAGACCCTAAATGTCTAGTCTGCTCTCACTCATAGTGACCTCAGGTGTGTCAGAGTAGAACTGTGCTCCATAGAGTTCTCACTGACTGCTTTTTTAGAAGTAGAGCACCAGGCCTTTCTTCTGAGGAGCATCTAGGTAGATTTGAACCTCCAACCTGGGACTCCAGAGAGGTCTTGGCTATTTTTTCTGCTTAGATATCTCCCTACAACCTAATCTCCCATCCTCTACCCATGTTCTCCACTTACCTAAATCCTACTCTCCTTTGAGTCCTCAACTCTTCTGATAAATGTTTTCTGATTTCCTTCAGTGGGATGTTGTCTTTCCCTTCTTTAAATCCCTGTGGCTGCCTGTCTTTCATCACAATTACACACCCTGACAATACTCTGACACATTTGAATACTTTTCTAATTCCCCTTCTAAATTTCTGTTTCCCGAGGCAGGGGACTTGTTTATTTAGCTCATGCAACGCATAAGTAATTCTTGACATCCCACACACTATAATCCAGCTATAAATCCATGTATAAATACTTGGTGAAATAAGTTGGAATAAAAAAAAAAATGAGGGCATGCATTCACATGTTGGTGCCTTAAATAACAATAGCCTAAAGGAGCATGGTTGCCTACAATAAGAAAAAGAAAATTTAAAAGCCTGTGATCTCCAGCTACATGAATCTCTATCATTATGAATCTCATGTATACATCTAAAAAAATCTTTCCCTTATTGCTGTTGGCATAATAACCCCAGAAATGGAAGAGCCCAACAGAATTCAGAATTTAATCATTCACTGTATTCAGAAATAAACGATCTTTGTAAACTTGACAATCCGCAGCAGGGGCTTCAAATATTAACCAAGGCCAATAACCCCTCTGTTTAGGTTTTGGCTGGAGTTGTCACTGAGCTACACCCTTTCTGGAAGACAGTCTAGTCACATAAGATAAGGTTTCAAGATGTCCTTAAACTAGCAAAAATTACTTGGCCAAGTGTCTATGGTGGGTTCCTTTCCCCAGGGTTAGAATAGTTATAAAAGCAAAAGTGGTATCAGAGGAGGCTCATGGTTATCTTTATGCCCATGTGCAAATCACCTCCTCTCTCTGGACCTCAATTTTTTTCTAGAAGAGAAATTAAAATAACTCTTAAATATCTCTCTCACAATCCAAGATTCTATTCTGGGCTGCAGGCTGAATTCCCAGAGCTCCAGCCTACTAGATTTTTCTTTCCTACTTTTAAAGTGTGTATGGCTCAGATTTTCCCATGGGTCTCCTCTGGGGCATACTTACCTGGTTTCTGGAATAGTGTGGCTCTGCAGGTGGTGACACATTAACTGCTATCATGAAAAAGTTCTTAATCCCAGAAGTTACAAGAAAGGAGATTCTTTATCATAGACTCTCAGGAAGTCTTTACCTCAATCCAATTTATCTCTGGTTAATTCTACATGAAAGTATCCAAACTATAGGTACTATGGAACATAAGAGGCCCTGGAGAAGTTACAGGAAGGAAGTTGCTGTGGCTGGAAGTCTTAATGCTAAAAGCATGACTATGAATTCATAATTGATTCTGTATTACATTATTGTTGTTGTTTAGTGCCGTCAAGTCAGTTCTGACCCATAGCGACTCTGTACAGGGTTTCCAAGGCTGTAAATCTTTACGGGAGCAGCAAGCCTCATCTTTATCCCGAAGAGCGGCTGGTAGTTTCAAACTGCTGACCTTGCGGTTCGCAGCCCGATTCGTAACCACTACACTACCAGAACTCCTTGTATTACATTCTTATAGACCACAAAAAAGTTCAAGTTCATCACCAGGCAGTAATCTGTGTCTGCTAAACTGCTGTTCACCATCTTATGGTTGCTTTATTTAATGTATGATTATGATGACTTGTTTGCCATTAGAATTAGAAGGGAACCTAAAGCTCAGCTAGCTCAAATCCTCATGTTGCAAGTGGGTAACTGAAAGTTAGACAGAGTGCCACTATACAGCCTCATATGCATTTGAAAGTTGGACAGTGAATAAGGAAGACCATAGAAGAACTGATGCCTATGAGTTATGATGTTGGAGGAGACTATTAAAAGTACTATGGACTGCCAAAAGAACAAACAGATCTGTATAGGAACAAGTACAGCCAGAATGCTCCTTAGATGCCAACATGGTCAGACGTCATCTTTCAGACTTCAGACATATTATCTGGAGAAGGACACCATGCTTGGTAAATTGGAGAAGTAAATTACCGAACGAGAAGAGACCCAACGAAATGAATTGGCACGGTGGCAGCAACAATGGGCTTAGGCATGGTAGTGATTGTTAGGATAGAAAAAGACTGTTTCCATCTGTTGTGCAGAGGGTTGCTATAGGACAGTCTCAACTGCACCTAACAACAACAGTAAGCAGTTTATAGTAAAGTCAGGAATAGGACCCAAGTCTTCCAAGGACGATGTCCATACTCTATGTTTCTCTCAAACAAAGGTCACAAAGATAATGCACTACAGTTTGTGTAACTCCTCATTGAAGAATGCTTCCCTGGGATCTTCATCCAAATTTAGTCTTACTTTTATAAACTCTAACAAGAGACGTTTAACTGGTTTCTATCCCTCAGGTTGCAAACCTTCAGGTCAGCAATTCGAAACTACCAGCTGTTTCATGGGAGAAAGATGAGGCTTTCTGCTCCTGTAAAGATTTACAGCCTCAGAAACCCTATACAGGGTCACTATGAGTCGGAACTGACTTCATGGCACATAACCAACCACATATTGAAAATAAACAAACAAAAATGAAACTCATGGACTGATAAAAAGACATAAAATAAAACACTCCATAAAGAAGACATAAGAATTCCTAAGGCATACAGTCTGGGGACGTTCAATGCAAAACACGCAATAAAACAAGCCAATATCCTGGAATTTGCAATTTAATATAGTATCATGATGGTTACCACTTTAAATGATGTCTCCGGATCACCAAGAAAGGGTAGTATGTTTCACTTAAGAAACCAGGAATTTCTAAAATAATAAAATAAAAATAAAGAAGAAAATGAAAGTAATTTTTATAAAATATTTTGGAAAAGTATTACATCTAAAATGTTTTGTCTTATTATTATTATTATTATTAATTGCTAGTAGGTAAACCTTCAGCTATCTTAAAACTCAGTTGACAAAAATAACATACCACCTGGGATGTTCAAAGGAGTAACATTTCAGTTATGTGCAGAAAGGCACATTGTACGGTAATAAGGGTTGTGTGAGTTCAGCTGGTAGCCGCAGCAAAAAGGAGTAAGTAGCAAAGCCATGATCTCATCTTCTGTTTACACTTTAATTCCCTAAGTTAGTGATTAATTGTCCTTGTGTGTTGTTGCCAGGGCAAAATGTTTTTCTTTCAAACTCCTATTTATTTTAAATAAATAAACCATTAGTTTCAGAACAGAAGTGTCAAATGTCGACTTACGTTTGACATACTAAGCTAATGAACAAAACAATGAATTCATTAGACGCTACTAGATAAAAGCAGCCTTTGAGAATTCTACTTTAATAACTTGGAAAGGCAGCAGAAATTATTCTTAGTAGGAGCTTTTCCATTCATCTTGATGAAAGTTGCTGTCCAGAGGTTGCAGACACAAACAAAAACCTAAAGGAATTGGCTTAGTTGTAAGATGATAGAGTACTGGGTATGTCAGGTATTCATAGTCAAATAAATAATTCAACCAGTTACCCGAATATGTTTCCCAAACCCAACCCACATAGACCAGTTTAGGATCTTTATTTGGGTCTCTGTATTCACACAAGGCCTCTGACTCTTCCAAAGCCAGGAATTATTTTAGCAACTAGGCAATTTTTCTTGCATCTCAACACACACATACACACACATGCACAATTTCTCAGTGCTGCTTAGGCTACTTATTAAATACAGTACTGGTCACATGACCTCCCGGTTTCAAAGTTTTCAATATCTTCCCTTTACCTGCAGAATTAAAATCACTTCTTGTCATGCATTATGACATTCAAGATCAACTATCATCTAGTTTCAATCTACCCTTTCAGGTATGTGTTTGACACTCCCTACAGACTCCCAGACTCCTCTTTGTTCTCAAAATGTCTTACACTTTTAGTTCTTGATAAATGCTTATTGGGTATACTATGGGGTCCTAAGGTGGCACTATAAGATAAGCATTCAACTTCTAACCACAAAATCAGTGTTTCAAATCCACCAGCTACTCCTCAGAAACCCTATATAGGGTTGCTATGAGTCAGGAATGACTCAACGGCACTTAACAACAACTATGTATCAGGCCCTGTTACAGGCACTAAAGACACATACTTAAAGCAAAGGTCTGCCTTCCTGCAATGTCCATTCTAATGGAGATCTTTAGGGTGCATTCACAGTGAGTGAAAGCTTTTATCACTCTTTGATACTCTGTCTCTGTCTTCCTCAACTTGACTGCCCCCATTGAACAGGAATATGTCTAACTCCTCTCTCATCACCACTGGAAGCTCAGTGAAAGACTGATAATGGGAATATAGCTGCTTGCCTTTGAAAATGGAATAAGTTGCTATTACATATGGAACCTATCTATGAAGCTATGTAACTTCTTTTTAATTTTAACATTGAATTATTTCAATAAATAAAACATCGGTTATCAACAGGAATGGTACATGTCAGGCTAAACAAAATAAGTAGAACTGTGACAGAGGGCTACATTCACCTCACCTGAAATGTGTCTTTCAAATCCCAGAAGTCCTAGTACCTTTCCCTGGGGTTTCTCAGGCTGCCTGTTCTACTCATCAGTAGCCACCAACCTTTTTCCTCTTGGGAACCAACAGAGAAGCACCATTGGGAAGCTGCTCATCTTGTTCCCTTTCCCTTTGACTCCAAAGGTAGAAACTGAAGACCAGGTTTTGGTGACCTTCTGTGGCAGGGAGACCACAGACACAGAGCAGACCCCTGGCCAAGAACCAGTCCTCTCCCCTGGATCCTTCATGTCCATCACTTTCCGGTCAGATTTCTCCAATGAGGAACGATTCACAGGCTTTGATGCTCACTACATGGCTGTGGGTAAGTTAACACTGGGTGACTCATCCCTCTCTCTCTCTCCAAATATTGAAACTTTCTTACTCTTCTCTCCTTCTCTTCCTTTTTCCTTCCTTCCTTTTATCTTACCTTCCTCTTCCTACTTTTAATACCTCCTCCTCATTTCTTTCTTCCTCCTGAGAGGAGGAGGTTGCTGCCTATGAGAGTCTTTATCTTTCCTCTTCCACTCACATCCCTTTGTCTCCCCACCTCACCCCACCATTCCAGTTCCAAGCTCCATGTTTCTTCACCTAGCACTCAACAATCTGGCCAAAGTCTTTTTGCCAATTCAGCAGTTTCTACCCCTCTTTACTGGTGTGGCACTGCAGGATAAGCACTTGACTGCCAGGTTGTTTTGAACAGCAAGATAGCAGTTCAAATCCACCAGCCCCTCCTTGGAAACCCTATACAGGGTCGCTATGAGTCTGAACTGACTCAGTGCCACTTGACAACAACCCCTCTTCACAGGGCTCTGGTGTGGTGCTGTAGTATAAGCACCGTACTGCTAACTGAAAGGTTCATGATTCAAACCCACCGACTACTCTTTGGAAACCCTATACAGGGTCGCTAAGAGTTGGAACCAACATGACAGCATTTAACAACAACCCAGCTTTACAAACATCAATACCACTGCTTTCTAGCCAGACTAAAATATTCTTTACTCCCCACATCTGATCAAAACTCTCCAACCACCTCTCCTTGAAGATTCTATTTTCTATGTCTCAAATTTCCTTTTGCACTCTTATCAAGTCATGATTTAGTTCTACATATCCTTCAAGATCAGGATCAAAGTATGCCACTACTTTGAGGTTCTGGCCTTTACTTGGAAGTAGTTTCTCCCTCCCCAACAGAGGGACAGCCTTCTCCCTTACCCCCTCCTCCCCCATGTATATCTAACTTGTGATGGATTTACACCTGAGTAGCATCATGCTATTGTTAAGGAAATGCAGGGCTGGGAAGAGAATCCTAGATTAGGGATTCTGATGTGACTTGTTGTGTGACCTTGGACCAGTCACTTACCTGGTCTGAGATGTGATTCATGTCTCTATAAGTAAGAGCAATCTCATAGATTCTACCTTCCTCACTGGACTGTTGGAAGGTCAAATGTGAAATCATTCTTACAAATTGGAAAATGAAATGCAAAGGTTGGTGATGATTCCTCAGTGTCCTTAGTCTCCTATGAATTCCTCAAGGGCAGGAACTATCTCCTTTTTCCCCAACAGTATGAAAAGTGCCAACCATACAACAATATCAGAAGATCTTACAGTGGACGCCTGAACACTCACCACAAAGATTCTACCATTTATTTTTATTGCATTTGATTTATTCTGTATCTGTCCCTTTATCCATCTACCCACCCACCAATCTGTCTTTTCTGGATGCATTTTAAAATAAATTGCAGGCATCTGTACACTTCCTTCTAAATACATCAGCATGCATAGCGTTAGCTACAGGTCAATATTTGTTCACCAAACCCTTAACGAGACATTGAATTTTGCCATCAGTGCAGAAAGTTCCTGTATGTGCTCTCCTAGTCAATCATCCTGAGAGGAAACCAGTGTTCTTATGTTTTCCCATTATACGTTTATTGTACCTCTCTCTTCTAGCTTCATACAAATGAACACACAGTGAATATATTTTGGGGTTAGAATTTCTTTTACTCAGTGTATTTCTTTTAGACTTATCTGTGTCCCTGTATGTACTAGCAGTTCACTCCTTTTCCTAGCAGAACAGTTTTTCCACGGTATTAATATACTCCAATTTGTTCATTCATTCTCCCATTGATAGATACTTGTGCTCTTTCCATTTTTTGGTTATCTTGAAAAACACTGTTATAAGCCTCTTTGTATGAGTCTTTTTTGTGAACATATATTTTTGTTTCTGTTGGATTCCTAATATATTTAAGGTCATGTGGAACTGATTCATGATGTAATGAAACTGAAGTGCTTGGTCTAGGCTAGGTATACGCAAGTGTTTAATTTTATAGGAAATTGGACCATTTGCATCACTCCACCTTCAGTGCTTGAGAGTTTTTGTTGTTCTACAACATTTGATGTTATCAATTTTTAAAAAAATTTTAACCATTCTGGTGAGTATGCAATGACACCTCATCATAATTTTAATTTGCATTTCCCTGATCATTAGTGATGCTGAGCATATTGTCATGCACTTATTAGCTATTTGTTTATCTTCTTTTGAGAAATACATGTTCAGATTTTTCACTCTTTTTTTTAATTGGGTTGAGAAGATATATTTTTTATCTTTGTCTTTCCAATGCCTAGAACATGACTGGCATACATTAGAGACTTAGAAAGGTAGAGGTAGCATTGGATAGTAGTTCAGAACACAGGCTCTAGAGTGAGCACACCTGGATTTGAATCCTAGCTCTGGGACTTATTATATGTCTGTGTGACTTTGAGTAAGTTATTTAATGCCCCCAAATCTCAGTTGCATCATTTATAGAATGGGTATAGTGACAGTACCTGCAAGTGCATAGCTGTTATTATGTTTGTTAGTAATGGCACCAAAATTAAGATGCTTGGGTTCAAACCTGACTATCTGTGACCTTGGGTAAATTACCTAACCTTTGTGAATCCTGGTTTCCTCACTTGTAAAATAGAGGTAATGCAGACTTATGTGGAGATGAAATGAGAGAATTTATGTACCTCCAACACAGTGGCTGACCCATAGTCAATACCAGTAAGTGTTATCTGTTTTCATCACCATAAGACATGTGTGTGTGACTAAGAGGCTCTACTTGTCCTGCAGATGTGGATGAGTGCACAGAACGAGAGGATGAGGAACTGTCCTGTGACCACTACTGTCATAACTACATCGGAGGCTTCTACTGCTCCTGCCGATTTGGCTACCTCCTGCACACAGACAACAGGACCTGTCGAGGTAGGATCTATGGATGATTCTGTATATTACCCTATGTGCACATCTTCCAAAACAGATTAAAGAAGGTGCAAAAGAAAGAATAGATATGATAATTATGAAAATTATTTCATTCCAAAAATTAAAATGGAATTCATACAGATACGCCTGAGATACTACCTGGATGCCCACCTTGCTTAGGCCCTGGACTTAGCTTGTCAAAGGATAGCATGAGAGAAGCTCTGTCCGAGTAACCCATCTTTGTCCCTGGGAAGCATTTCTGTTCTATGTCACTGTCTCTTCTAATATATAGGTTGTTAAAGGAAAATCTGGGTTCCTCAATTCTCTCTCCCTGAGCCAATAGTTCCTTTTTCTCTTGTCATCCGTGGACTCCTTAAATTCCCCTTATACAGATATTATCTCAGCCCCAAAGAAAGAAGACAAATTCCCACTCTTTCTCTCTCTCATTTCATTCTTTCGTCAACATACCTACTATGTTCCAGTCACTAAAATGGAATCAGGAATGGATAAGTGGAAGGTACTTAAATGCTCCAAACTGGGTGGTGGGTAATATCTAAATAAGCAAATATTGAAATGTTGTCAATGCTATAACAAAGAAAAGTATACACACAGCACAAGGAGAAAGTTTGCCTGGGGAAGTTGGTAAATGTTTCTCAGAAGTGACAACCTTAAAGGAGGTGAATGGAGAAGGACAAGGAAGGCATTGTAGGGACAGAAAGCAGTTCCATAGACATTCAGAGGCATAATAGAATGTGTAATATTTGGAATTGCCATTGCTTTAGTGTGACTCAAAGGTAATGACCCATGTTTTAGGAAGATCACTTGGAAGTTGCATGAGGGATCCTTAAAGGAGGGCAAGACTGGAGACAAGAACTTCTTTTTTTTTCTTGTTTCACAAACTGCTACTTACTATTCAATTAAACCCTATGAAGCAAAAATAACAGACCAACACATGTATTTTTAAGGGGATTACATTTTATATTATTTTCATTCAATAAATATTAATTGCTCATCTGCTATGTACTGAGTATATTGTGAGACTAAGAACAACGTATTGCATAGGGAAAATCTGCTGCAAAATATCACTTGAAAGTGTTAAAAGTCAAAGATGTCAGTTTGATAATGAAGATGAACTCTACTCAAGCTATGGTTTTTCAAACGCCTTATGTGCATGCAAAAAACAGACAATAAATAAGGAAGACCAAAGAAGAACTGATACATTTGAATTATAATGTTGGCAAAAAACATTGACTATATAATGGACTGCCAGAAGAGTGAAGGTGTCTGTCTTGGAAGAAATACAGTCAAAATGCTGCTTAGAAGCAAGGATGGCAAGACTTCATCCCACTTACTTTGGCTATATTATTAAGAAGGACCAGTTGGTCCCTGGAGAAGAACATCATGCTTGGTAAAGTAGACAGTCTGCAAAGGAAGAGGAAGAACCTCCAGTGATTGCAACAATGGGTTCAAACAGCTAAAACTGTGATGATGGTACAAAACCAGGCAACAGTTCATTCTATAGTGTATAGAATCACTATGAATCAGAGCTGACCTCATGGCACTTACCAACAAGGCTCACAGGGTGGAGCAAGTTCTCTCAAACTTTCTGTTTCCATTTTTACCTCAACCACAAGCCTTTTAAAATGTTATTTTTCTTTTATCTCCATCCATAAAACAATTTGAAGAACTGAGGAAGTAAAAGAGTTGAGCAGAAAAATTTAAAGGGAAACTTGAGAAGTCAGGAAACCAAAAGGGAAAACCATGCTCAGTATTTCCCAAACTGAAAGAACTGAAGAAAAAAAATTAAAAACCCAACTTGCAATCTTGAATGATTTTTTAGGGAAAATATTGAATGATGCAGAAAATATCAAAAGAAAATGGAAGGAACATACATGCACAGTACCAAAAGGAAATGGATGATGTTCAACTATTTCAAGAGATAATATATGATCAAGAGTCAATGGTACAGACTGAAGAAGTCCCAAGGTGCACTAAGGCATTGGCAAAATACAAGGCTCCAGGAATTGATGGACTACAAATTGAAATCCTTCAACAAACTGATGCAGCACTGGAGGCACTCACTCATCATGCTAAGAAATTTGGAAGACAACTACCTGACCAATTAGTTGGAAGACATTCATATTTGTGCCCACTTCAAACAGAGGTGACCCAATGGAATATGGAAAACATTGAACAATATTATTAATATCACCTGCAAGTAAAAGTCTGCTAAAAATAATTCAAAATTGGCTGCAACAGCATATTAACAGGGAACTGCCAGAAGTTCAAGTCGGATTCAGATAAGGACATGGACCAAGAATTATCATTGCTGACATCAGAAGGATCTTGGTTGAAAGCAGAGAATACTAAAAAGATGTTTATCTGTGCTTTATTGACTATGCAAAGGTTTTCAACTGTGTAGATCATGACAAGTTATGGATAAGAGGAGAATGGGTATTCTGGAACACTTAATTGTGCTCATGAGAAGCCTGTACATAGAACAAAAAGCAGTTGTTCGTACAGATAAAGGCAACATTGATGGTTTAAAATCAGGAGAGGTGTGAGCCAGGATTGTATTCTTTCACCATATTTATTCAGTACGTATGCTGAACAAACCATCAAAGAACATGGATTATATGAGGACGAATGTGGCATCAGGATTAGAGGAAGACTCATTAACAACCTGCGATACGAAGATGATAAAACTTTGTTTTCTGAAAGCAAAGAGGACTTAAAATACTTACTGATAAAGATCAAAGACCACAGCCTTCAGTATGGGCTGTACTTCAATGTAAAGAAAATGAAAATCTTCACCACTGGACCAATAAACAACATCCACATAAATGGAGAAAAGATTGAAGTTGTCAAAGACGTCATATTTCTTGGATCCACTATCAATACTCATGGAAGCAGCAGTCAAGAAATCAAATGACATATTGCATTGGGCAAATGTACTTCAAAGCTTCATATGCATGTGAAGGCTGGACAATAAATAAGACTGCAGAAGAATTGATGCACTTGAGTTATGGTGTTGAAAAAGAATATTAAAAATACCATGGACTGCTAAAAGAACAAACAAATCTTTATGGAGGAAGTACAGCCAGAATGATCCTTAGAAGTAAGGATGGCAAGATTTTGTCTCTCATACGTCGGGTACTTTATCAAAAGGGATGGGTCCCTAGAGAAGGATGGCATGATAGGCAAAGTGGAGGGTCAGCAAAAAAGAATACCCCTAACGAGATAGATTGTAATGGCAAGAGCAATAGACTCAAGCTGAACAATGATTGTGAGGATGGCGCCAGACAAGGCAATGTTTCACTTTGCTGTACATAAGATTGTTATGAGTCAGAACCAACTTGATGGCATCTAACAACACCTCCATGAAGTTTTAATGCCACAGAGACACACTATCTTTGTTTGCATGCATATATTTGTATTATGTACAAAAAGAGTAAGATTCTCCCCTCAGGAAATTTTAATTCCCTTGAGGGTGATATTGCCTCTATTTGAATGGGTAGAATATAAAACAGATCACAATTCAAGACACCTGAATTCAAAATTTACTCTAAAACTCAGCTGAGCATATTTAAACTAGGCACGTTTCCATGTTATGGACTTATCGCCAAGTGAATAGGTGAAGTTTCAGAAGAGCTTGACATCTGAGATGTAGGACTGGGTGGCTCAAGGGCACAGGTTCATGCAAAGAAAGAACTTCTGCAATGGCCAGAATCTGAGGACACTGCGTCCTTGGTAATAATAAATTCAGTGGGGAAGCAAGCATAATCTCTGAGCTCACAGAGCCTTCATAATGTCAAGGAGTGGTCAGCACTATGAAAAAAACATAAAGCAAAGTCAGATGTTAAAGAATGAGGATAGCTATAGGTGCAGAGAGCCTGTTAGATGACAGACCAAGGAAGACTTCGAACAGTATTTGAACCTGAGTGAAAATCTTTGATGAAAGAGCAGAACAAAAGAAGTCCATATGGTCTCCCTACCATTTTGTCTCAAAACCCTCCCATCTCTGAGCTCCCTTTTGTCACAACGCCACACCTACCAGTACCAGAGAATCTCCTGAGAAGAGTCATCACACAGGGTAAAAAGAGCCTTGGGTAGAGAACTTGAAAACCTGAGTTTCAGAGTTTCATCACTGAAAATGACAGGGTGCATGACCTCTGATAAATCACTTCCCCACACTAAACTTCCATTTTCTTATCTGTAAAATAAGATAATGATTTTTCCCTGCTGCCTTCTGGGACCATTGGGGAAAACAAATATAGTAGCAGATAAGAAAGGGGTAGCTGTGGTGTGGTTGTGGTGTGCCATTTTGCTGTGGTATGTTTCCCACAGTGGAGTGCAGTGACAACATCTTTACCCAGAGGACTGGCGTGATCACCAGCCCCGACTTCCCCAACCCTTACCCCAAGAGCTCTGAATGTTTCTACAAGATTGAGCTAGAGGAGGGTTTCATGGTCAGCCTGCAATTTGAGGACATTTTCGACATTGAAGACCATCCTGAGGTGTCCTGCCCCTATGACTATATCAAGGTAAGACTGAAATGGACACTTATCCCAGCAAAGCTGGAAAACCTTGACTGACTTGAGCAAATTGACCTTCTGGGCCCTTTACTTTCTCCCAAGGTAGGAGGCCAAGTAGCTAATTTCAAGAAAATTCACTATTTAAAATACTATCCACCAACTGAATAAGACCCAGTCTGGAAATCTTCTTGGGTCCAAAACTGGACATATGACCACCAAGGTGGTTTAAGCAATAGAATTTCAGGGTCAAATCTGCTACAGGATCACCTTCATGGGCATTCAATGTGTGCAAGTTACACAGGACTCTATGCTGAGATGAGCTCATGCTTGGCTTAAAGATTTGCTGCTGCTATCTTAAAATTCAGAATAATTAAAAACAAAAACCAAAAAACAGATGCTATGTTCTCCTTTTGCCCTGGGCCCTAAAATGTAGTCCTGCTTCAGGGAAGGAGGCTATGTCAAAGGCAAATAAAGTAGTAAAGGTGTCCACAGATCAATAATGACTTAAATTGTGGTTAATTCCAGTGGTGTACATTCAAATGTGAAGGAAGCATTAATTTGAGCTGGGCTAGGGAGTTATTTTTGAGATATGTGGTGGGAGTTATTTTTAAGATATGTCCTGAAATGACACTATAGGATAAGCACTGAACTGCCAACCTCAAAGTCAACAATTCAAACCCACCATCCACTCCTTGGAAATCCTATACAGGGTTGCTAAGTATTGGAACCAAATTGACAGCAGTTAACAACAACAATATGTGAGAAATAAGATCAGCAATTCTTGGGGAGTGATTGACCAAAACATCCAAGTGGAGAATGCATTTGAAGATTAGGATCTGATCTCAGGAGAGATGCTGAGTGAGAGACAAAGATAAGCACCACCAAGTGTATAAATTGCTGTTGTTGTTAAATGCCGTCAAGTTATTTCTGACTCAGAGTGACTCTGTATAGAGTTTCCAAGGAGCAACTGGTGGGTTTGAACTGCAGACCTTGTGGTTCAAACTGACCTTGTGGTCGAGTTCTTATTCTACAGCACCACTGTAGATGGTTTAAACCATGGAATTGAGTGGGACTTCCTAGAGAAAGAAAACAAAGATGGAAGAGCATGGCAGATTCAGAGGAAAAGGTGTCCACAAACAAGGCAGATGAGGGGAAACAAATGGGTCAAAATGAGGCTGTCAAAGGAGAGTCAGCAGCGGCAAATGTCAAAGAGGACTCAGATAGGAGAGGTAGAAAAGGCTGAGAGTCTATGAAAGGAAACTTAACTTGGGTACTTGAACAAAGAAGCTAAAAGGCAGCTTGATTCCACATGAGCTACCAGACAACACAGAGCATTAGTTTCTGTTGCTGGGTAACAATAGCCATTTATTAGCTCACAGTTCTGTAGGCCAGAAGTCCCAATGGGTTCAACTGGCTTTTCTGCTTGGGGGTCTCACAAGGCTAAAATCAAAGCGTTGGCCACACTGGACTCTTTTCTGAAGACTATAAATGAGTCCACTTCCAAAGTCATTAACGTTATCAGCAGCATCAATGTCTGTGGTTATCGGATTGAAGTCCCTGTCTTCTTTCCAGTTATGGTTAACAGGTCCTAGCTCAGGACTCCCTTCATCTCAGCAATGGAGAACCTGCCTCCAGCAAATCCCTCTCATGTTACAAATCTGTCCTTTTCTGCTACCAGCTGGGGTAAAATCTGATTTTAAAGCTCATTTGATTCAATTACGCCCATCCAGATAATATGAATCAATGGGTTCATAATTTTAATTACATCTGCACATTTTCTTTTGCTGTGTAACTAGCATAATCAAAAATTAACTGCAAAAAAAAAAAAGTAACTACAGAAATGAGGCTATTGGACCAATTTAGAATTCTTTCTATACACATTATATCCCAGTACCTGTGAGTCTTACCCAGGCCTTAACCTTTACTTTTTACTTTATGTTTTTCCCTCTTCAATGTAAAGATGACAAAACAAACATACCACCCAAGATTGTGGAAGCCACTGAAATGAGGGTTAAGGATACCCTAGTAGATGGACAGAAACAAGGTGAAAAGCATGAGGAGAACCCTGGAGTTGATAAATGTGGATCAGCTAGTAACACCTATTCCCTTCTCTCCATCTCCACTGCCTCCATCCTAATCCAAACCACCATGCTTTCTGTCCTAGTCAACTCTGAATTGATATTCTTGGTTCCACTATTGACCTACGTAATCTGTTGCCCCCATAGCATTCAGGTTCATCTTTATAAAACTTAGGTTACATGAAGATTGCACTTGGAGTTAAATCTAAATTCCTCAAAACAATGTGTGCCTTACCTGTCATTTCAATCTTATGCCGCCACACGCTCTGTCATATTCCCTTGGATTCAAGCACACTAGTTTCCTTTCTGCTCTTAAACCTTGCCTTTACATATGGAGCGCAATGAAGTCCTTTAGTGGCCCCCTTGGCCATTCTGAAGTGATAATTATTTCTCTATCTCCTTCCTTATAGATTAAAGTTGGCCCTAAAATGCTGGGACCCTTCTGTGGAGAGAAAGCACCAGAACCCATCAATACTCAGAACCACAATGTTCAGATCCTGTTCCACAGTGATAACTCAGGCGAGAACCGGGGCTGGAGGATCTCATACAGGGCAACAGGTACAGCCTCTCATTACCCAGGTCACACTCAGCCACCCTGGTGTTTCAACATTATTGCACATAGTGCCCAGTTCTGGGGAAAGGACAGAAGAAGATATCCACAAACAATCATTTGTCTGGGGAAAGTGTCAGGGCCTGACAGCCCTGTCACATAAGGTGAAGAGACAACTGAGGTATACAATCACAGAGTCTTGCTAACACTTTGAACAATGGTATTGAACAGAAAGAATGATCAGGATCATTCTGAGTGGCCCAAGAAGTAAGACTATGCTCCACTAGTAAAAATTACAAGGAGACAAATTTTAATTGAATATTAAAATGTAGTTCATTAAATTTGAGGAGTCTATATATGGAAGGTATGGGAGATATTGAGCAAATGTATGTCTATAGGTGTCTAGCCTAGAGAATACTGTATAGGAAGCATGAGACAAGGATTAGCTTCAATGACATTTAATATTTTTTCAATTCTGAGTTTTAATTTAATGATCTAGCCAACTCCTCGTTTTAAAAAATACGGAAAGGAGGGTCCTGAGCTGGATGGTGTCTTGCTTAAAGCTGCAGAGTACTGTAGCTTCTGTAAGGGCCTAGAAGGTCCAGGTTTCCCAACCCCAGTTCTGTGGGGTTTCCACCTCCAGCAGAACTCATTCTACAGGGGCTGATCCTCTCCCTGTGAGACTTTTTCTGTCTTCTCAGCTGCTTTCCCTTCATTTGTTCCCCACCAGGGAACGAGTGCCCACAGTTACAGCCTCCTGTCCATGGGAAAATTGAGCCTTTGCAATCCCAGTATTTCTTCAAAGACCAAGTGCTCATCAGCTGTGACACCGGCTACAAAGTGCAAAAGGTACAGGGTCCTGATTCTAGGGTTGGGTAGACCCACCCAGAGGAATTCTCCATAACTTCACAAGGAAGATGGGGTTCCAAAATCATTATAGTCCCGGCATAGTATTACATCGCTTTCCCCATAAATCACTAAAATGCTTCTGAAATTCAAGTCTTCTGAAAATTGAGAGCATGTGTCTCAAACGCTCTCTCTCACTTTTGAAAGTGAGAGAGATCTTTTATTAGAGGATTTATTGTTGTTGTTAAGTGTCATCAAGTTGGCTCCAACTCATAGTGACCCTTATAGGGTTTCCGAGGAGTGGCTGGTGAGCTTGAACCACCGACCTTGCAGCTTAAACCAACATTGCAGTCCAGCACATTAACTCATAGGCTGATAAAAGTCAGAACCAAGACAGCCCTACAATTAGATCTAACAACCTCAGCAAAGTTCATTTCCTTATTTAATGGAAACTGGGAAAAGGAAGTAAAGATTTTTGTTGATGTTTGTTTTAATTATGGTAAATATATATGTAACCAAATATTTTACATTTCAACAATCTTCATGTACAGGGTGCTTCAAAAAGTTCATAAACAATTAAAAGATAATGCAATTGTTCCACGAACTTTTTGAAATCACCTCATATCCTAAAGGAAATGGTTGAAAGATGACTGCTCACTCTCAGTCTCCCGTCTCTAAAACAGTGGTTCTCCTAGGAATTACTTGGTTAACTTTAAAATAAAAATGAAAATCTCTCATGTCTCATCGCAGATCAATTAAAGCAAAATCTCTGGGGCTGGTAACCGGTTATTGGTTTTTCTTTTGTGTTCCCCTGGTGAGTCCAATGGTAAGATAGAAAAGCTAGAGGACCTCTCTGCTCTAAGTAACGGTTTTCAAAGTGAAATCCTTAGATCACAGTGTCTGTGTCATTAGGAACTTGCCAGAAATGCAAATCCTTGAACCTCACACCAAACCTGCTTAATCAGACATCTGAGGGTTTGTTTTAACAGGTGCTTTAGGTGATACTGATTCTCCCTCAACTGCTCTGAAAAATGAAAGAGTTCAGGTTTTCCTCCAGAAACAATTGTCCAATTCTTGTACAGAGCAGCTCCCTCTCTTTAGAGTGTGAGAGGTGAAGGCGAATTCAGCATCTATTTTTCTCTTATCTTCAAGCTTCAGCTTAAAGGCCCAGGGTTGGACAAACCTAGTTAAGGACAGCTAGTTTTACAGTTTGAGCTGGGAAACAACTGCCTGACCCCATATCCATTTCCTTCTTCTCACAACGTCTTCATGTTTTTTCCTAGGACAATGCGGAGATGGACACATTCCAGATCGAGTGTCTGAAGGATGGGTTGTGGAGTAGCAACATTCCCACCTGTAAACGTAAGAACATAAAATAGGTTAATTATAAAGGATAATGAGTTGATCTGTAATAGTGGGATCTGACCAGAAACCAAGCAAGGATGAGAACTTGACCAGACCACCCTAAGATGCCCACTCTGGATGGGCACCAGAAGTTTTTGTAGCCCCAGCACAGTGTTCCCTAGCTTTCCCATATTGCTGTTGTTGTTATGTGCCAGTGAGTCAGTTACAACTAATCATGACTCTGTATAGGGTTTCTGAGGCTGTAAATCTTTACAGGAGCAGAAAGCATCCTTTTTCTTTCACAGAGTTAATGATGTGTCCCAAATTTCAGGGACAGGACTGCAACAGATGCATGAAGGGTCATACCAAAATAGCTCCTAAAACCCCTTTCAGTAATAAAACATTAGGATTCCAAACAAAACTTCTTGTGGCCCACAGCTTACTTCAGAATTACTAATTTTACCTATGCCTAAAAACAACAAAAAGTGTGGCATGGAGCCCTGGTGTGGCACTGTGGGTTAAAGCACTGGACCACAAGGTGGATTTGAACCATAAGGTTGGTGGTTCAAATTCACCAGCCACTCTTTGGAAACCCTGGACAGGGTTGCTATGAGTTGGAATCAGTTCAACAGCACTTAACAACAGCAAAAGTGTGGTACTGTAGGATAAACACAGGATTGCTAACCGCAAGGTTGGAAGTTCAGTCTCAGCAGCTGCCACCTGGAAACCCTATGCTATTGTTAAATGCCATCCAGTCAGTTCCAACTCGTAGCAACTCAGTATAGGGTTTCCATGGAGTAGCTGGTAAGTTTGAACAGCCAACCTTGCAGTTCAAATGGACCTTGCAGTCCAGTGCTCATCCTACAGTGTCATACCAGGACTCCAGTTGCTATGAGTCAGAACCAACTCCATGGCATTTAACAACAACAACAAAGACAGGTTAAGGACTGCTGATGGTGTAATGGGTTACACGTTGGGCTACTAACTGTAAGGCAGGTCATAAGTTTGAATCCATCAGCCTTTCTGCAGGAGAAAGATGACACTTTTAGCTGCTGTAAAGATTTATAGTTCCAGAAACCTTACATACGATCTTACTATGAGTCACAGTTGGCTTGAAGGCAGTGGGTTTGGGTTTTTCAGTTGTTGTGTTTTTTTTTTGAAGACAGGTTGCCAAATTTGCCCAGGGAATACCATGTTGATCTGCTTGAAACTACCTCCAGAAATTGCTAGTTCAGGAAACCAGTTTGCCACTGGTGCCCAGACCTGAGTGATGTGGTCAGTGTCTACATAACCACCAGTCACATCCACTAAAACTTTCTGAGACAGCTCTTGATTTAACCCGGGGCCAGATGGGATGTGGGGTCACTACCATGTACCTTTGTGAAGCAGAGGACACAGCTTTGCACTGGATCCTGGGACCCAGAGTTCTTGTCTCAACTCTGTCCCTAGCCTTCTCTGTGACATGACCAAAGTTCTTCACCTCAACTATAAAATAAAGGGTTAGAACTAGTTCTAATATTTTATAATATATGCCAGTGATTTTATAATATTATAGTCCATACAAACTGTCTTTACGTTCACACAAAAAACCCACTGCCACCAAGTCAATTCTGAAATTCTGAGTCACAGCGATCTTATATTGTTTCAGAAGCTGTAAATCTTCATGGGAGCAGTCAGCCTTATTGTGTTTTCCTATGGAGCAGTTGGTGGGTTTGAACTCTTGACTGTGGTTAGCTATGCAGTGCTTATCCTACAGCACCACCAGAGTTCCTATATGTCTACATGGTCCATATAAATTTATAAAAATATAAATTTCTGGCCCCCTACACCTACCCAGATGACTTCAATGAAAGATTTACTCCATTGTGGTAAGGACCCCAATTTTAGAAAACTGATCTATAGAAGAAATTCAGGTGTGGTGCTATAAGATAGGCACTGGGCTTCTAACCACAAAGTTGGTGGTTCAAACCCACCAGTCACTTCTCAGAAACCCTATACAGGGTTGCTATAAGTTGGAACTGACTCGATGGCACTTACCAACAACAATCTATAGAAACAAGGCTAAGAAAAAGCATGGTAACAGAAAAACCTAGGGAAAAAAGAAAGGGAGGCAGAGAAAGGGGGAAAGAAGGAAAGGAAGAAGAGAAGAAGTGAGGGAGAGAGAGGAGGGATAAGGGAGAAGAGTTTGCTTTAGAATGCAATGGTGAGGAAACAGAAATTAGGAATGGTAATCCCATGACTCTTTTTGTAAACTTTGGAGTGGTGTCCTCCTTCTCTTTCTTTTCTGGTTCTGATTCAGTAAGGAGAGAGCTCAACCTCAACTACTCAAGAACTCTATCAGGAACTTGAGGCAAATTTAAAAGCACATGTTCTTAATTTTTTTTTTTTTTAATGTGATGATGAGGCTGGAGTTGAGGCCCAGTGTGGGAAAAGGAGGGTTTTGTTTGCCTTCAATAAAAAGTTTCCATAACCATTTATGGGATACCTGCTCAGAGTTCTATAGGGAAGTCAGATGGAAAAGACAAGATCCCAAACATCAAGGAATTTCAGAGTCAGCAGAACATCCACATCATTCAATCCATGGCTAGATAGTAGTGCTGTGAATTAGTTCTAAGCAAAGTACTTTGCAAAGTAAAACAAGGAGCCATTTGGAAAATGAAAGGAAATGAGGATACGGCATGCATAGGACAGAATGTGACTTTGGAGACAGGAAGTTTTGGATTCAAATCCTGACTCTGCCAGTTGGATGCCTCTGCAATTTACTCAGTGTGTTTTCTGCCTTCAAGATTTTGTTGAGAATTAACTACATAACATCCCTGTGGAGCACAATGCCCCCTATACCACCACCACCACCCCCATTCACTAGGAATAGTTTTTGCTTTATCTCATTCACATCTTTGGAAGATAGTTGGTGGTTGTGTGCCATGGAGTTGGTTCTGACTCCTAGCGACCCTGTTTCTGAGGGTTTCCGAGGCTGTAAATCTTTATGGGAGCAGAAAGACTCACTTTCTCTGGCAGAGCAGCTGATAGATTCAAACTGCTGAGCTTTTGATTAAAAGCTCAGCTCATAATCCACTACGCTACCAGAGGAAGATAGGAAACTTTGTTTTTAGTAATAATAACAAATTTCTCCCAGATAAAAATGTACTCACATTTTAATGTGATAGATTAGTTTATAGAGGAAAGCATTACCATATCTTTGGTACTATCTTATGTGTCTGATGTTAGTATACAAAAAAAAAAGCCCCAATATTCTGATTTAAAAAATTAAAAGAGCTATATGATCCTTCTTAATAAGACCTGGTTCTTATACTTAGTCTGGAATAAAACTATTAGAATCCCCATTCAGGCATACCCAGCATCATTGTTCCTTCCCTCAGTAGGTATTTAATGAGCCTCTCTCTGTGCCACGCAATGTTCTAGGCTCTGGCAAAAGTATAAAACAAAGAAGACTGAGAAGTTGAGTGTACCCAGGGAGTTGGGACTAGACAAGAAGTGCACAGTATAAGGTAAAGAAAAATGCACTGGAGTGGGAAGCGGAAATGTGAGTTCCTTCCCTGGCCTTCACCTTACTGTGGCAACACTGGACAAGTCCTGGCCCACTCTGAAAGCTGTTGGTGTTAAAGTACCGTCAAATCAGTTCTGACTCATAGAGACCCTGTATAGGGTTTTCAAGGAGTGGCTAGTGGTTTTGAACCACTGACATCGCAGTTAGCAGTCCAGTGTTTATTCTACAGTTCCACAGCAAAGCTCTGAAAGCTATCTGTTAAATGAGGGTTTGGACCAGATGAATGCAAAGCTCCCTCTTCAGGCAGAATTGTATAATCTTCATAAACCAGGATGTATGACTCTGGTAGTGTAGTGATTACAAATCGAGCTGTGAACCTCAAGGTCAGCAGTTCGAAACTACCAGCTGTTCCGCAGGAGAGAGATGAGGCTTTCTGCTCCTGTAAAGACTTACCGTCTCAGAAACCCTGTACAGGGTCACTATGAGTCGGAACCGACTCCATGGCACATCACCACCACCACCATGACTTGGCAAATTCTCAGAATGGGATACAAATTCCATATTCCCAAGCTGTCCTTCCAACTGGCTACGCCTACCCTGTGCAGTCTTAATCAATTCTGGTGGAGTGGTTTCTGTATTTCCTGCATGAACTGTTTCTGCTTTGCTTACTAATTTTTCTCATACTCTTTTTTCTCTTCTCTCTCTTCTGTCTCTCTGACTCTTCTTTCTTCCTCTATACCAATCTGATCCCTCTTTGGTCTTCACCACAGTGACAGGAACCGAAAACGATTTGGAGAGAGAACTCGAGTCAGAGCAAGTGACAGAGTGAATGATGGGACCCCACACAGAGCAGATATCCAAGAATGGATCACTCAGAGAGCCTCCAGGGTCCCAGAGCATCCCTACCCAACCCCCCATTCCACAAACACTCCATTTCCCACATCACTACGGATTAGAATGGATGCTCAACAAGGCAACATGGTCTCAAGCAAATGAAGCTGCTGTGTGTGTGAGAGCAAATTCTCACTTGAGGGTCTACCCATCATTCAAACATCACTCTGGAAAATAATGAAAAGTTAATGGGGGATTTTTTTAAAAGTACTTCTGGGTGGATAGTACTCTTCTGAAAGGACAAATGTCATTTGATCCTAGAGACACTTGTGATTTAATATACAATCATGTGGCCTTTGACTGATAAGGGCAAAATGGACCCTGGTTTCTAATCCACTCCACACTTTCAGGTTAAATGGGCCAGAATGACAGTGACTTTATGAATCTTAAGGTTTCTACTTTTTCTTTCCTAACAACCATGAGTAGATGAAATTAATAATAACTCAAAGGGCATAAATGTTGGGAGAACTTGGATATCTTCTTATACTCAAAAGTATCAAGTATCCCTTCTATCCACACCTAACACAGGGACTGAAATTCAATCATCAAAGATTCTTTCTTCCATGGGTCCCTAATTATTCATTTCTTAAAATTTACAAATTAAAAAAATTTTTTAACTAGGTATCACACTCGAGAGCAGTGGTTCTCAGCTATGCTGCCACAAGACATCTCTGGGTCATAAAAAATCAACAAAGAAAGGGTTGTGCATGCCAGGATTCTCTGCTTCAGTCTGAACAAAATCAAGACACACTACCAGAGGAGCCCTGTACTCTACTGTAACTGCCTAATCTCTTTTGGTGATTAAATGTCCACTTAATAGCAGAATCCTACAAAACTGGATAATAAGTGAGTTCAGGGACTGAGGTGCCTCTTAGGTCAGAGTTGTCACTAAGTGTGAAGATGGGACAATTCCTGAAGATGACTGTCTGTCAAATATTCTTAAGCCCACAAAGTAGAACAGACATTTGTACCAGATGGAGGAAAGGAATTCATAATTTAGAGCAGATTTGATATGGACCTAAATCATTACAACATATAATGTAAGATGCATGCCATCGAGAGGGGTGAATGGAGAACTCTGGATGAGAGCGTGGAAGCAGCCCTCTCCAATCAGATGAATTAGAACAGACTGTTGAGAAGAAATGTTTGAACCAGGCCTCCAGAGTGGCTGTAGCAGAGACACATTAGGTGTTGTTGGTAGCATAAGTCATGGCCTGGAAGGGGAATGCAGGACAATGTGGGGTCTGTTGGTGCTAGATCATAGTTGCACCAAGGGAAGGGGTAGAAATGAGACTGGGAAGGAAGCTGGGATGAGTGTGCAGCTTTCTCTAGGGACGTCTCAAATAGAGAGAAAGCACTGCTCAGGTCAAGAAGGGTGTGGCTGAAGGAAAAAACATAGCAGCAAGAGATGACAGAGGGGCAGGAGTGTCCCATCCCAGACAGTAATGAGAAAGGGAGGCCATGGAAATGGGAAAGGGAGGGAAATTTTGATTTCACAATGTGGAAGTGACTACAAGAAACATTAAAGAGAAGGATGGAGCCCTTTCTGAAGTAAAGAAGATAAACTGAGGAGACAGAATCTGAATATGTATCTTGGAATGAGTATTTATAGAAAGGGAAATGGTCTCCAAGTCTCAGATAATCCTGTCTCTGTAGGCCACTAGAGACCTGGGAAGAAAGTACACTCCTTCCTCACTCAATATTACTTCTCCATTACTTTTCATACCTTCTCTACAACCAAAAAGTTGGTGGTCAAATCCACCCAGAGATGCCTCCAAACAAACAGCCATTGGTAATCTATTTCCAAAAGGTCATAGTCATTGAAAATCCTATGGGTCAGAGTTCTACTTTGGAACACATGGGTTACCATGAGTCAGAATCAGTTTGACATCAACTGGTTTTGTTAGGTGTTTTTCTGATTGTAGGACCAGCTCTTCAGTGGGTAAACTTACTTCTCTAGAGTGCCTACAAAGATGCTCTACCCAGAAAACAACTCCTGGCCAGTGTGGGGGATGTAACAGACTCTCAGTATCCTAACCATCTAGATAAGTCTAAGACCAACCCTGGGATTTCTGCACTAGGAATTAGGTAGTAAGCTTTACAGGATACTTTAGACCAGGAGTGGGAATATCTGGCCTACAAGTCATTGAAGGCCTGAGAAATCATTATCTGGCCCTACCAAGATAACCGCAATTCTAATCATTACATTGTTGTTGTTGTTGTAAGTGCCATCGAGTCGGTTCTGGCTCAGAGCAACCAATCCTGTATAGGGTTTCCAAGGAGCAGCTAGTGGTTTTGAACTGCTGACCTTGTGGTTCACAGTCTCATGCTGATCCTAAAGAGCCACACCAGGAGTCATCACATTAGGGGTAAGTTAACTGATCAAATACGGAGGCTAATTTTTAAGTTGATAACTTTGTGTATGGCCTGTCAATGATGTTATAAATTTTGGCAGTAAAAAGGTTTCCCACCCCTGCTTTGTACCAATGAACTAGTGAGCCAAATTTAAGGAAAACAAGAGACAGTCCTGCCAGGAGTAATAGCCATATCTTGGTATCAATATGTAGCCTTTCCTAAAAGAAGAAAAATCTACTATGAACATCAGTAGGAAAGTAAATATGAAATGTTCACAGTCTTAAATAATAGATGTTATCACCTATTATTATTCTAGTGTTGACCCTCACCTTACAGAGTATAAGTGTGTCTTTATTTCTGAGCAATCAAAAGAAAAGATAGTCATTTTTTTCAGAGAGAATGGAGGACAAAACACTAACCAATTTCCTTGGCTTTGTATCTTCTTTGTGGGTCGAAGTTACTCCCATCCTTTTTCATCCACTTGGAAGGGACTGAGAAACGTCTATATTTTAAGTAAGGCAAACTCTATTTCATCACAAAGATGAACTTGGGTTATAAATGTATGAATAACATCTTTGGGATACATTATCCCCTCTCTGCTTCACAAGATGAGAAGAAGAAGGAGAAACTCTGGAATTTTTAATGGGCTTTGGAATGTAGTCCTCTGAAATGATCAGATCAGCAGCTAATGTTGAATATACCAAAAAAAAAAAAAAAAAAAATGCTTAAAATAAAAACCAAACCTATTGCCATGTAATCAGTTCTGACTCATAACAATGCTACCAGATGGAGGCGAACTGCCTGCAGAGTTTCCAAGGCTGTAATCTTTATGGAAGCAGACTGTCCTATATCTCGCTGGTTTTAAAGTACCAACATTTCAGCTAGCACCTGAGCTCTTAACCAATGCACCTCCAGGGCTCCTTCATTTCAAATATTGGCAATTTCAACAGCCTGTACCAGACTCACAGAACCACAAGGCAATTCCATAATTGTAGCGAGTATTGGCCAGTTTCACTAGAAAACAGATCTTTAAGAAATATCAGTTAGGTTAAAGAGCACTGAGACAGGTCAAGGAAACCGAGTTCTAGTTGTCAGTCTGACAGTGACTTGCTGTGTGGCCTTGGGCCCGTCAGTCTCCTTTCTGGGCTCATCTGTAAACTAAAGGGGATCTTCTAGGTTGCCTGCCTTTGTGTTTTTCCAACTGCGAAATTCTGGGCTTTCTCTATGATTCTTTGACTCTGCCATAGGCAGTTATATCTAAGATTGGAGTTTTCTGAAAAATGAATGCTATCTCCAAAGGAGGTGTCTACGGCACCAGTAGCAAACTGGTTGCTCAGCCTCTGACTGACTCAGTAGAGGGCTGATGAACTCCTCCTAAAACCACCTCTGAGGATTAAGCATCTTTGGCTTTGTCTTACACTGGGGCTACAACCAGTCCAAACATCCAGTCACCAAGTGGAGAACCTGAGCAGGTGAAGAACAGAAGATGGTCCACCCCAGCCCCACCCCATGCCTTCTGTGGCCAAGGGAGCTTCCTGCAGAAAGCAGACACAGGAAGGGTACATGATCATGCAGGAGCTGGGGTTTCTGCTTGTTTGTTTTTGTTTTGTTTTGCTTTTGTGCCAAGCTCCCATGTGAGCACATTAACCACTTACTCACCATGTGGTTGGGTCGGGAAGAAATGAAGAGTCTTTGGTCCTTGTCAGCCGGAATTTTCCCACTGAGCCATGGGCTTCATGGTTGGGGAGAAGAGGCTGAGATGACTGCCCTGAAGTCTAAAGTGGCTGTGGTGGGGAAGAGACTGAGGTCTTCTTAAATCTCAGCAGACCTGCTCCTGCCCTGGACTTGACATCAGGTCAGGTGAGTAGACCACACAAGTAACACCAGAATAAATGAGACAAGTCCCCAAAAGCAGGGCCACAGGTGGCTGCACGGGTTGTGTACTGCACATCCATGTGAAACAGACCCACCAGATAGATGGTCCCAAGACAGAGTGAAGAGTATATTAGAGGATCACATTCTTCTTCTCTCTCAGTTGCAGACTGCAGGGCCCCAGCAGAGCTGGAACATGGACTAGTCACCTTCTCTACCAGAAACAACCTCACCACATACAAATCTGAGATTAGATATTCCTGCCAGAAGCCTCATTACAAGATGGCCCAAAATATCACAGGTGAGTCATGGTATGGGGAAAGTGAGACACAGATTCACCAGCCAATACCTTGACCCAGACTCCAGAACAGCTGCATCTGTCCCCATCTAGCCTCATCCATGCCATCTGGTAAGGAGACCCTTGACTGCCCCAGGAGCAGGGGAACAGCACAAGGGTCAGAGAGCAAAGGGCCAATAACAGCCAGTCTACTGACTTCAGTAGAGGTTTGGGATGAATTAGGAGGAGAAAACATTTGAAGAAGCACATGTTCCACCTCTCCCCACCTCAGGCCCACACCCCCAAGAGCTAAGCCACATGGTACCCAAACCCCCCAACTCTTACCACTGTTTCACTCAGTCACTCATTCAACTCACAGCCAAAAAGAAACTCTGAGAGAAATGAGAGGGCCCGTTAATTCTGCCTCCACCATATTGTTTGTTGTTGTTAAGTATCGTCAAGTCGGTTCGGACTCACAGCAATCCTGTATAAGGCTTCCGAAGAGCGGCTGGTGAATTTGAACCACTGACCTTTTGGTTCAAGCGACCTTGTGGTCTAGTGCTTATCATACAGCATCACATCGTTAACAAAATTCTCCTGATTTCTCTAGACCTCCACTCCATCCCTTATCAAAAAGTGGACTAAAATAGAGCGCACAGAGCTTTTATGAAATGAATGAATCAACAGACACAGACCTGGACTTTCAAAAAGATTGTTAATTGGAGAAAGTCGGGAAGAACATCTGCAGCATAGAGGCTTGGGTGGCCATACACTTCGGGGTGCCTACCAGGATCTGGACAGTGTGTGAAAGAGAGGGGGCAGTCCTCCCATGGGCAGTACTGTTTGCAGAGCCTTGAGCACCATGATATAGAGTTTCCTATTTATTTATAATGGCAAGGTGGAGTCATTGGAGGCTTTAGCATAGGAGGACGTGCTCAGATTTCCATTTTAGGAAGACAGATGGTTGCAGTGGGCAGAGGACTGGCTTGGAGAGACCATTTGGAATGTTGTTCTGATCCACAACAGAGGAATTACAGCTCAGATTTATTTTCCCATGTACTATAAATCAACATTTTCTCTTTTCCCATTTTTTTTTTTTTTCACTCTTCCAGGCATATATACCTGTTCTGCCGAAGGCATCTGGATGAACAGAATACTGGGGAGAAAGTTGCCCACCTGCCTGCCAGGTACCTCACCCTCGAAGTTCCTTGTGTCAAAGTCTCCCATTGGAGGCCTTAGGCCCCAGGATTCTCTGGCTTTTTATCTGGTAGAAGGAAGGAATGGGGGAATGCAGCTTTGGTTGTTTTCTTTTGAGATATGTATTTGGAGAGTCAAAGGTCCAGAGAAGCCTAGCCTCAGACTTTTTCAACTAACCAGCCTGTTCTACCAAACCCAAGAGAGTCCTGACTACTTTCTTGCTAGTTCTGCTCCCTTCTCACCAAGTTGTTCATCCAACTCAGTTTGCCTGTGTGCCTATTGTATGCCAGGAAAACCCAGAAAGTGGGCATCCTGTCCTCAAGCACTCACCATGCTATGTTGTTGTTATTGTTAAGTACCATCGAGTCGATAACAACTCATAGTGACCTTATGCACAGAAGAATGAAACACTGCCCGATCCTGGGCCAACCTCACTATTGTTACCATGCTTGAGTCCATTGATGCTGCCACTTGGCCAATCCATCTCACTGGGGGGTCTTCCTCTTTATCTCTGACCCTTCACTTTACCAAACATGACACTCTTCTCCAGTGACTTGTCCCTCCTGACCATATGTCCAAAGTATGAGAGATGAAGTTTGGCCATCCTGGCCTCCAAGAAGCATTCTGACTGCACTTCTTCCAACACAGATTTGTTGGTTTTTAGCAGTCCATGGCACTTTCAATATTCTCCTCCAACACCATAACTCAAACACATCAATTCATCTACGGTCTTCCTTATTCACTGTCTAGCTTTCTCATGCGTATGAGGTTATTGAAAATAACATGGTTTGGGCCAGGTGCACCTTAGTCCTCAATCTGACATCTTTGCTCTTCAACACTTTAAAAGGGTCTTGTGCATCAGATTTGCCTAATGAAATACGTCGTTTGATCTCTTGACTGCTGCTTCCATTGAGTGTTGATAGTTGATCCAAGAAGAATGAAGTCCTTGACAACATCAATCTTTTCTCCATTGATGAGAATGTTGTTTATTGGTCCAGGGGTAAGGATTTGGGTTTTCTTTACATTGAGGTGGAATCCATATTGAAGGCTATGCTCTTTTATCTTCATCAGTAAATATTTTAGGTCCTCTTCACTTTCAGCAAGCAAGGTATCATCGGCATATCACAGGTTGTTAATGAGTCTTCCTCCAATCCTGATGCCACGTTTTTATTCATATAATCCAGCTTCTTGAATTATTTGCTCAGCATACAGGTTGAATAAGTATGGTGAAAGAGTATACCCCTGTTGCACACCTTTCTGAATTTTAAACTATTCAGTGTTCCCATGTTCTCTTCGAACAACTGCCTCTTGGTCCATGTACAGATTCCTCATGAGCACAATTAAATGTTCTGGAATACTCCTACTTCGCAATGTTGTCCATAGCATGTCATGATCCACACAATCAAAAGCTTTTACATAGTCAATAAAGCACAGGTAAACATCTTTCTGATATTCTCTGCTTTCAGCCAAGACCCATTGGACATTAGCAATGATAT